TTATTCAACTATACAACATCTAGCCATTTCACATATGCTACATGTAGCCATTTCAAAAATGTATAGGAAAATTGCCTATAAAATTAACTTAGATATGTTTTGATAAGTAATCATAGGAGTTAAGTTATTTTTAGGAGAGCTGATCTTGGGATTTCTTAAATATTGAATTCTTTGATAAGAAAGTTGTTTTATTTGGTCACATACAGACAAATATTGTAATTCATTACAAAATCCATTATCACCTTTTGTCTGGGATCAAAGAGTAGTATATGTTCTCTCTTAATTTGAGATAGGAGAGGAGACCTGATTCTGGGGATACCAACCCTGCAGCAACACTTTCCTCATTGCACTAAGAGAGCTGGGGTCTGTGTAATATCAGCATCAATGTGGCAGGGATCACAAGGACTGGGTAATCTTTGTCCTTGGCATATATTCATGTACATGGGCACCACACATAAAAAAAAATAGTGTCATATCTTGCCTTGGTGGGAAGGTCAGGTAAATAGAATTAAAAATATTTTCTTGAGATGACATATTCCCAAAAGAGACAATTGAAATGGTCTTTGTGATTGCATACTGCTGTGAATTTGTCTTGACAATATAAATTGTAATTTTAATTTTCTGATTATAAATATATAGAGCATTATTTTTTGACTAACTTATTTTTGGCAAGTTATTAGTTAATTTTTTAACTAATGATCTGTTTTTTTTTTTTAATTATTTTAAACACTTCTCTTAAAAGCAAGTATAATAAATAAGCTTAGTCTGTTATAATATTTATTTTTCATTTATTTCATTTACATTTTTATATAAATTTTTATATTTTCTCCTCAAGAGAAAGAGCAATAAAGAAACTTAGGTTTTTGTATTATTTCTTATTTTATATTCACCTTTTAATTATTTTACATTATTTTCTTATAAAATCAATTTCAAAATTTTTTTTTTCTATTAAAGTTGTGTTGATTAATCATTGTATCCTTATTCTTGTTAATTATGAGTGTGTATAAAATCTTTTCTGAGAAAAACACTTAAAACTTACTTAGTTTTACTTTGGTTTTAAATATTTCTCAAATATAAATTTGGTACAATTGTTTATAAACAAAACATTCTTTTATGTCATATTTACCAGGATATTGTTAGTTTGGGATAGGAATAGATGTAAAAATTGTTTATGTCTAATTTCATTTAGTTTTTCCACTTCTTATCTTTATTTTACAATCACAAGTTTCTTGAATATATTCCTTGCTCACATAATATTGATTTTATGACCTGTTTATATCCAACTTCTCTCAAGATTTATTTTTATATATATAAATTAAAGAAGAATCTGTGATGTTCTTGGTCCTGAGCTGGCATCTTGGCTTCAGTCACTTTGTCATCAGTATAAAGTGAAATGATTAAAAAAATGATTGTAAAATACTTAAGGGATGTAGATTGTTATTTTTGTTGGCTTTTATTTTATCCTATAAAAAATAACTGATAATGGTTAATTTACATGTTCAAACAGTTTTCTCTTCTTGAACTAATATCAATTTATTTTTCTCTTTTTTTCTTTAACATTTTTAGCAAGATCCAAAGCTCTTTTTTTAAGTTCTATGTAACACAAGCACAGAATTATTTGCAAATAAAAATCTCCATGTACAATTAAATAATTTACTGAAGTGAAGTGAAATAGGTATTGATTAGACCTCTTCCACACTCTTGGTTTTTTGGCCTTTGTTATTCTATGGAAAAGGCTGAAAATTTTGTGGTTTTATCTGTATGGTAAATTTAAGTCAACTTTAATCTTCAAAAATGTTTCTGTTTTCTAATTCTTTTACACCCAGTAACTCCTTGTGTTTTAGTAGCTTTACTGCCATTCTTTGGGTGAACTTGATTTTAAAAAAAATCAGTGCCAAACATTAATCAGAATTTTGTCAAAATATTGTTTATATTACAATGTTTGTCTATTTCTAAACCTACTTATATCCTGTGATTTACAGAGAGGAACATGACCAAAGACTAGAAAGGAATATAAAGGAGAGACAGGGCCCCCAATGTTTTTATGTACATTGCTGGGGATTATTTGGACTTTTAACATCTAGCAAAGATTTTTAAATATTTGCTACAATGATATTTTGTTTTTATTTAGATTATTAAAGCTAATATTCTTTTAAATTTTGTCTTAGAAATATCTTAAATGAAATGATATAACAGGATAAAATGACATCATTATTCTTTTCAAATTTACTCATGTTGAATTTAGATTTGGTATCGAATAGAAAATAAGATCACTTTTATTGTGTCTTTACTTTGTAACTCAAGATTTTTTCCTTTTTTTTCTCGACAAAGATGATTGGCCAATGCTGTAAAAAAAAGATTAAAATCTAGATTGTTTTTTTTTGCTTTTATTTTATCCTATATTAGCTGAAAAAAATTAGTTTTTTCTCTTCTTGAACTAATATCAACTTTTTGCTTTAGTATTAAAGCTCTTTTTTACAGATGAAAAAAAAAAATCTCCAATTCAATTAAATTTTAACTGTCTTGACTGAAAATTTGAATGTATGGTAAAAAGTCAACTTTAATCTTCAAAAAATACCTTAATCACATGAATATAGTTCAAAATATTGTTTTTAGTTTTTTTTCAAACAACAAACTAGTTATGTTTTTATTGTTTAACATTAGCAAAGATTTTTAAATATTTGCTACAATGATACTTTTTTTTTAGATTATAAAGCTAATATTCTTTTTGTCTTAACAGAAGAAATATCTTAAATGAAGACATAACAGGATAAAATGACAGATTATTTTTCAAATTTATCATTTGAATTTAATATTATATTAAGATCAAATTGATTTACTTTTTTTGTAAATGTTTCAATTCAAATGATTAATCTGTTTTTTTTTCATATAAGCTGTATCTGCATTGTAGATGAAAAAAAAAGTTTCATTTATAACTGGTCTCTTAGTAAAATGAATATAGTTCTTTTTTTAGTTTTTTTTTCAAACAACTTTCTTGTTTAAATTTCTCAGACTTTTTTGTATGGCTTCAAAAGTTGAAGACATACAAAGATATTTTGATTTATCTTTGAATATTATATTCTCAAATTGATTAGCTTAAAATGTTTCAATTCATGTAATCTTTCATAAGCTGTATCTGCATTGTAGTGAGTTTCTTATAGGTCTCTTAGTAAAATGTATGACCTTTGAGATGTATCATGTTTTTTCTATAATTGAACATTAAAATATAGTCTCATTAATATAGTCTCAGTATAGCAATGATATTCTATTTTTTTTAATTAATATTAATAAGACACCAGACACTGGTATCCTAAAAAACATTATGAGAAATGGTACATTTGGGAGAATAGTGAACAATGAAGCATAATGCAATAGTTGCATAATCCATTACATGGATCTTTGCATAACTCTTGTTCAATAAGTTGCTTTTGGTTGAAGCACTTTGGCTGAAGCTTAATTGAGATCTTGCTTAAGGTATCTCTATCACAGCATCATGACCATGCAGGGTTTTGAATTCAGTGTTGTTCTTCTCTTAGACTGATTGCCAACCACAGCTAGAGAGCCCAGTCTGCTCTGTTGTTTAACCCATAGTTGGATGCAGAAGAGATAGATTCATACCTTTTCCAAGAATATTTGCGTGTAAGTGAATGTCACAAACTTAACTGGAATTTTTAACTTGGCTCTCCAATTTCTTATTCCAAACTGCTGCCCATTACACTGTCCACACAAACTATTGAAGTATCACAAAACAATTTTCTATGTATTAGTTTAAAAAATTCAAATTACAAAATATCTTTTGTCTTATAACTAATTCTGTATTAAAATTTAAAAATTCTGTTTTTTTTTGTTTTCAGGTTTGTCTTTCCTAACTTTACAGTATTAATGTATTTCATTATATTTGACATTTTATTTAACATTATGCTTTTGTATTGGTTTGTAGGGATAAGGGAGATACTTTAAATGTTTTTTTTTTTTGACACAGCAGCTGCAATTTTCTTTTTCTTCATTGAAATTATTTTCTCTCTATATATTTTTAATGAAATAATTAATATTTGTTGTGGGAACCACAGTACTGACAAATATGAACAGACCTTGTTTGAATGTGTCATACCATAACTTATACTAATGAGAAAGGAATGAAAGGTAACATGCAACAATGGAGATGAGGCATTGTTAAACTAAAAAGGAGGATTTAGTTATGTTTTCACCTTTTTCAAAATGATTAGAGAGTTTTTCTTAGTATTCTTCTGAACTTGTGAGAGTTAGTATTACATTGTAGATCTAGAGAAATATCACCTGAGGAAAATATACACATGTACAAGCTTTATGAGTAAGAGTAGAAGGTTTCATCATTTAGTGGCCTTGACTGTTGATGTTAACATCAGACTCCTAGTGCTTCTGTGACTGTTTTTGCTTTTGCTTGTCAGCATCAAGTAAGTCTTTGTCTGGTCAAAATAGGTGAGAAACAGGCAACTGTGCTAGCTCAAATGAACCTTCTGCTGGAGTTCAAGTGATTAGAGTTTATATGGTATTGGAGTAGTTTGAAAACTAACTGTTGGTTAAAGCTGATTGGTCAGAAAATATTTTTGACTTTTTAATTCTTCTTTTCTCTTGGAAGTGGATGTGCAGGTATGGCCAGTTTCTGTCATTTAAATGGCAACTGTTGAGGTGAGCTCATCTTTTTTTGTTGAAGAGCAGGAGTTCTGACAGGCTGCATCATATAAATATTGATTGGTATAGAACCTCTTTCATTTTATAATTCTATTTGAAGCTTTCTTTTATTTAGCTATAGTATTTATTCTTAATCTGTTTTATTGAGTGAATCTAAATAAAACAGTCTATAATTAAAATTTATGAATGTTATATATTACTTTCTTGAGCAAATAATCACATTTTAAGAAAGTGATAAAAATAGATGCAAGTATAATTTTGTTACACAATGACACAATTGTCATTCATTAACAATTACAGCAGCTCAACATGAAGCAATAGTGTATCACATTGATACACTGGTCCCCATATGATCACAGAAGTTAAGCAATGTTGAGTCTGGTCAGTGCCTAGATGGGTGACCTTTTGGGAATACCAGTTGCTGTAAGCTTGGATGTACAGATGGTGTAAGGATAATGGCTTAGAATTGTTAATCAGAGAGCTGAGTTCCAATTCCTGTTTGAATTTGTTATTCACTGAAGTGCAAATATCCTTGGGAAAGGTATGAATCCACCTCTTCTCTCCCCAATGATGGGTTAATTAGTAAGACTTTTATCACTAAACCATTATCATGTCCCCCCCAATTCTTACAATCTAAAAATATTATTTGGCTTTAAATAACCTGCAAAGGGTTGATAAGCTATAGAAAATGAATCAACCAATCAACATGAAGCAATTTTCTCTTCCTCACCAATAAGATTTTCAGTTTTTGATGAAAAAAAAAACTAAGACAGCTAAATTAACATCTCTCTTATTTCTGAATCTCTTGACACTAAGAAAATATTCCTTTGATTAAAATCATAATCCAAAAATTTTCTGAGTAGAGAGGATGAGGTAAAATTACCCAGTTTTAATGTCTTTATTTTCTCCTGGGTTTATTTTGCATTCTTATTCTGTAAGATTACATCTTTTCTGTTTACCAAAACTAAGCATTATTTGTGTAATGCACCACTGATATATTGGAATTCTTGATAATAAGTTTTTAAGTGATGATCTTACCAGGATCTAGTAAAACATAGCCAATAATACATCATATTCCAATAGATGTAGAATAAAGTATTCTTTAGATGTCCTGATTTTGATGTTGAGATTGTTAATAATTACAGTTTTCTGTGTTTCACACTATCTGTAAGAATCCAGTGAAGAAAAGGAAGATTATCATTTTTGGTTAACAGATGGATACAAATAGGTGATTGTTAGGTGTAATTTTCTTGTTAGAATTCATGGGGAACTGAAATGCCCATCCTAGATTTGCTTTCCAATCTGTTTTAGAAGTTTGTGTTTTGTTGAACATGATGCATTGTGCCTTTTTGCTACTTTGATGAGAATCTGCTTCAAGAGATGCCATAAAAAAATAGTATCTCAGGTATGTATGAGATCAATGATTTATATCTTTTTGGTAATCCTTTGTCTTTTAGAGCAAGGATTATCAAAAAGATATAAATCATTGCTCTCATACACATTTATTGTACCTGGGTACATAGTATAAATATTCTTCATTGTGTTATATTACAAGGAGGGTTACTGAAAAGTTCTCAGTTTACCCCACTTCTCCAAATCTGACTCAATGGCTACGCATCTGATTTTTTTTAATCCCTTCTCAGTTGGTCCAAGAGCCTTTCATCATCCCCTTGTAGACAATGGGGTGATATGATGCATGTTAAAGTTTTTGTCTCTTATGGGATTAAACTATCAAATACAGGAGCTTAATAGAACAGATATTAAACAATCTGAGTATTCTTGTTTACTTTTTAATCTTGATTTTGTAGGAGTTGGTTTCAAATTTGCATATTTTAAATGTAATCTAACAAATAATTTGATAATTGATAGCATTGCTTTTCTTCCTTTTATTGATGATATTCATCCTGAATCTGTTTTATTATTGAGTGACTATAAACAGAACAATGCTGTTCATAATTTGAATTTTATGAAACTTGATATATGAAATCAAATTCATAGTGTTTGAGTATTAGTTGTTTGTTTTAAAATAGAAGGCTAATTTCATTCATCTACTGATACTCCCCACCTCACTTGTATGATATTCATTTCAATTCAAAATCTTTAATTGGTATTGTTGGAGATAAGTAACAATAAGTCTCTTTGAAGTGGCACTAGTAATATCATTTTAAGGATTTCATCCTCAGTACTAACAGAAGAGTTATCATTGAACATAGGTAATAGGGATTTTGTCTTATTTAATTTTATTTACATTAGTCATAGAAATTGCTAGTTGATTCACTGTGTTGTATCAAACAATTCTTTTCATCAGAATCCTTCTTGCACATTTATCAATCTACCATTTGTCTGTGCATTGAATATTGCTGCCATATCTGGCCTGGTGCTTTGGCTATATATATCTCAAGATTCTTGAAGGCTTGAGGCCACATCACATTGAAATACATAACCAGATAATAAATAATACTCATTTTGTTGTTCCATGTCTTGTTGTTTCTCATTGTTATGAGTATTTTTGTATATATAAATGTTAAAGGTGTTTATAATTATTTACTCAGAGTTATAATTCCCCTACAATAGTTTTCATCTATTTCTGTCAATATGTTTTGTCAGTGTGAGGGCTTGTTAGATTAATTATGTTTCTTCTTCCTCTTCATTTGAAAACTCACAGAATTATGTAACTGGAATTGTTTCCCTTGTTACTGCATTCATGTTACTTTTGTATCTTATCTCCATAGAAATATAAATCTCTTACACTTTAATTTCTCATTCCAGGTGTTTAACTATAATGAAAGCTGAGCTACTTTGAATAATGCAGGAGTTATTAACTCTGGAGTGTTTCAGTTGTTTATGACTAACTGAAAGGGAGAATAAGAACTATCAGTAATAACTGCTTCAAAAGAAGACTGGAAACTTTCATATTTACTGTTTCATGCAAAAGTATTTGTCACTAATGTTTCTTATTTAGCTTTAATATTAAGACTAAAGATTGGAAGTTATTTATAGAGTATCTTTGAATGATTATCATTTCTATTCATACCCTTTGATGATGCTGATTTTATCAAGATTTTTCTTATAAGTCATGGAGTTTTTGTAATTGAACTTTTTGTCTATGTGAATAACAGAAATTATCATTATCAACTGGTATTTAGCATAGAATGTTGATTCTTTTGGTTGCTTCTATGTTAATCTAACTATTGACTCAATCCAAGTGATCATGGGAGTTAAGCACAATTATTTTGGGTCAGTGCTAAAAGATTTTGTAATTAAAAAATAAAACTAGCACTTCTAATCTATATTTGAACATTATTATCATTAAACATACAAGCTACTTTCCTAAGTTCAGGGATGTTCTATCAATAAGACATGTCTTTTGAACAAGCTATTTGCTTAATTGGAGGTTGTCATAATTAAATACTACCCAATTGTTGATATCAATTTGGTCATGTCTAAAGCTTTCAACCTAGTAGTCAAGCAGTGAAAAGGAAACAATGAGGAAAGATTTACTTTAAATTTTTTATGAGTTTTTCTAAAGAAAATTATTTGATAAAATATCAAAATATATAATCGTGATTGTAAGTGATATGTTTAAAAATCATAAAATATTTTTTAACAAGTCTTAACAGCAACAACAAAGGTGAAATTAACATTGAAATTAGTAAAGAAGTGTGTTAGTTGCAAAGATTCTTAATAATAGATTAGTTGTCAGCTCCAACTTTAATAATAGTGTGAGTGTAATCTTGAATATACTAAATTTAGTCTTTAAATATATATATATATATATATATATATATATATATATATATATATATAATTTGTTTAAACATTTTTTTTTCTTTTTTTTTTTTTTTGAGAATTGGGTAGTATGTGTTCAAAAGCACTATTTGGGCTTTGTTTGATCAGGGGTTCTCTGTGGCTGAGTTGGTCTAATGCATGTGAAATCTAATGATGGTTTCCCCCGGAGGATGCAGGTTCAAATCCTGCTGGAGGACACATTTTTCTAACAAGATTTCATGAAATATTCAGGCCGGTAGATGTAAATAAATATACGGTTTAATAAATATATAAAAACAGAGTATCTACTCAAATATGAGTACCCATTTTAAAAAAAAATAACATTCAAACAAATTAAAAATCTGTTGTTTGCTATGATTAGTTTATTTACATGCTTTTTTAATGTTTCTGCAGAGTTTTTCCTTAATTTGGTGAATTTCGTTCTGTTATCTAGGATGGATTGGAACTTCTGATTGTAGTCGCATCAGTTAACCTCATAATTATTGGTTTTATCAGTGCATCTTGGGGTTGTTGTGTAACTTTACTGTAGTTTGTAAGGATATTGGTGAATGTTTTTTTTTAAGCCTTCAGCTTTTAGGAGGTCTTTTAAATTTGGGTGCACCTGAATTGATTTTTCTGTTGTAAGCTGTTGGATAGATTAGTATAATATTTTGATTTCCATTTTCTTTTGAAGAGGGTCATATCTAGGTTGGAGGTGACAATTCAGGATGATATTCAGAAATTCAACTTGGTGGTTGGTGAGTTTGTGATTGGACAAGTTTAGGAAGTTACACTTTCTGTCGGGTAGTATGATCTTTCCACTGTATAGGTTGCAGAGATTTTCGGTAATAATATGTTTTTGGTTGAATTCTAACATACTGTTGAGGTGGTCGAGGTAGCATTTGGTATTTGTTTGTTCTGTTATGCTCATTGTGTTTTTGAGAATATCTATATTTTTGAATTTTGGTTTTAAGATGAACTATCCTCTCCTTGGCTTTCATTAGTTGTCTTTCAACAAGGTTTTTCTGGAAAGTGCTGGTGTTATGTTCCTTGTTGGCTGCTGGGTTATGTAATTTAATTAATGTGCATTTGGGCAGCAACCTTTCTTTCAAGCATGTTTCATTGAAAACAATGGACAAGCAAAATTTAATTAGTCTCCAGCATTCTAACATTTTTTTTTGTTTTTTAGGATTTAAAGAATATAAAAGTTGTCCAAAGTTATTATTGTTCCAAGTGGTTTCAGTTAGTTCTACAGCCATTATCAAGGATGTTGTTTTTGGTATGGTGAATTTCTGTGCGTTATCATCTACATAGTTAAACTAGCAGTGACTAATATAGTGTACCAATTTCAATGTCCAGTGCATGTTAAAAATCACTTACCTATATCAGACACACTTCTACTTCCTTAAGTAGATGCCTTACATGTCACCTCTCACATGAATCATAAACATTTATTAACCTATAATTTACAAGAACACTTTTGATTCTGATTGATAACATAAAAATTCTTTTCAAATCACATAGTCATAGCCAACTTATTATAGAGAAGGATTACTGATTAAATACTGTTCCTCTGCTATCAATCTTACACTGTTTAGCAATGGAGATGGAGTGCTAAAGGTTTTCTAAAAATAGAAGTTGTATCCAGGTCAACCAGTCG